ACTGATAGTAGAAGACCATTTGTAGGTAGTTAAATACAGCTCATTAAATCATAAATTCAGACAGTAATTCTAGGAAAGGAAGACAATGTAGAGAAATGTCTTAATTAGGAAACATTACACAAGAGCAGATGCTTTAGCACAATCTTGCCCCACCCCCACCCCTCCAAGGAATATGTCAGAATTCAGGAAATGGTGTTTCAAAATCCAGACATCTATCTCCTGTCTGGTGAGTGGTCAGTCAAGGGTGAATCATCCTAATAATGGGCATTTGGTGCCCCTGACACCTGCCTCGGGAACACAGCAGCAAGAAAGAAGGAAATGGCCAGCAACCTTTCAAGTTGCCTAGACATAGGAGTTTGCTTCTGCCCTACAGTTATTACTCTCAGCCTCTAGTTTGCGAGTCTGAGAACCCTGCTCTTACTCTGCTCTCCACCCAAAGTGCTCTCCCTGCTTTCATTCCTGATTGATTTCAGTCTACTCTCAGCCTTGTGTGCTTTTGGGTTCCCGTGCTGCAGTTCTCAGATGCTGTTATATGAACTGTCAAACCCTCTACCGCCCAATCTCTAATTCCTGAGTTACTCTCTACCTTGTTCCCTCCCCAACTCTCCTTATGGAGAAATATTTTTTTGGTATGACTCTATTTTCTTTACATTGCCACTTGCATGTTCATGCTCTGGCAAACTCAGAATTTGTCTTTATCCCTTGCTTGCTGTTTGTTATTTCAGATAGAACTGAAATACTCCATTTCATTCAAACCTGTTTTTTCAACACTTTTGGTCCAAAGCCTGTAAACTTTATTTAATTCAGTCAAACTTCTATAGCCCCTGATGTGCTCTGTCTTTCAGGTATTTACAAATATTAACTAGCTTTCTTTACCTTTCTTTTCATGACTTATAATACTAGATTTTCTTTTAAAAAAATCTTACTAGATTCGACATTTAGCAATTATGTGCCATAAACTAGATCATATGTGTTATTGTTCTTACATATTTAATAATGCTAAATTGTTTTTCAGAAGCCCCCAAAGTAGAAAATATGCATAAAATAAATTTTAGAAATATCGAAAGTGTCTCTTCCTGGACCTGACTATCCTTATCAAAATCCAGTTTTATTACACAGCAAATCTTTAGAAAATCAGTCTGTGCCTTTATTCCATGGACTATGGATTGAATAATTTGACCCACAGTCCTTAAAAGGGGACTGTTAGACCTTGACTACTCTTTTAATTTGCCTTTTGATGTTTTTATAGCCAAAACCTTTATAAAATTTTTAGAAATCTTAAACATTTTTCAAAAACATAACCATGGGACCAGCATTATATCGCTTAACTTACTGAGCCCTTGCTTCTCATGTGGGAGTCCTGTGTTTGATTTCAGGCATCATACAATTCTCCCAAGTACCACCAGGAGTAATCCCCAACCACTGAACTAACCACTAAGCACCCCAACTATGCTCTGAAAAATATAAGAGAAGCATAACTACCAACCAGAGAATATTGAAAACATCTGCGCAGCGTTTACAGCCTATGTATAACACATCCCTCTCAATCTAATGAATTTGACCTTTCAACTACAAAAAGAAGAAAAGGATATTAAAACAACTTTTAGCACACTGCATATAGTACTTTCTTCTTGATCTTTTGCCGTATAAAGCATACCTTTTCCCCTCAAACAGACCATTATAAACTTAAATTGTATTTTTTTCACATTTCTTTTATTATCCTCTTGTGCAAGTGACTGTCTGTAGTTTCGTGAACCCAGTACCTTATGCAGTGAGAATTTATTTTTCTTTGGAGATTTTCCTTTTTGATTTATCTGCTGTGCCATTGGATGGCATTTGGGAGTTGCATTCGTCCAAATGCTAGCAGTGGGGGAAATCTGGTTTTGATACATGCACCAGACCAGGATAAGCTGCACATGTCTATTTCCTTTTCCCCTAATATTTGAGTTCTCCATGTTCAGTGGCTGCTTCATAGATCATGATGGTGTCGGTGATGATAATAATGACAAGAACAAGGACAAGAATAATTTGGGGAGGGGCTTTTACATATCTGGAATTCTTCCTAGTGCTTTGTATATGGTTTTTTGAGTTTTACACAAGGAGATTGAATTCCAGAAAGGGAATCCGACTGTCCCAAGATCAGCCAGCAAAGTCAAAAGGAAAGCCTGAAATTCTTGATATCATCCCAGTGAAGTCTACTCTCATTACCTTAAGCTGGCTGTGTTAAGCCCACCTTTGATGTATGAGCCCACGTTTCCAAATGCAAAATGAAATACATCACTTCTATCAATACCAGATATTTATGCATTTTATTGGTTATTCATTTTCCCTAACTTTAGTTTTTGTGATTTCCACTTACTGAACTTTTACTTTAGGCATATTATCTCCATTATTTAAAATGAAAAAGGAAATTAAAACATTGCCATTATATAGATGAAGGACCTAAGAATTTGAGTAAGCATCATGATCACGATCATCCTGTTGTTTGTCGATTGCCTCTAGCAGGCACAGTAACATCTCCTTCATCCTAGCCCTGAGATTTTAAAGTGCCATATTCAAGGCCCTTTCAGGGTTAGGAGAATGAGACCCATCATTGTTACTGGTATTTGGCATATTGGATACGCCACGAGGAGTTTGCCAGTCTCTGCCGTGTGGGCAGGTTACATTCAGTAGCCTGAGTAAGCATGTAACTCAGGAAAGTAAGTTAAGTAGAAGCCAGGCCAGAATTCAGGCCCATGTCTGTTTATCTTCAAAGCTCTGTTATATTTTAGCAAAATCAAGCAAACTTGAGTTATCGATTTGGTTCATTACAGAAATTGTAGGGATGTCTATACTGCTCTCTCTCTTATTCTCTCTCCTTCTCTCTTGCTTTCTCTCTTTCTCTCTCACTTCCTCTCTCTCTTTTCTTTTCAAAAATGTTAGATACAAAATAATATTCTTTATGGTATTTTTAAATATTCTACACTAGATCTATTATATACTATATGCTGCAGAATAAAATTAACCTATGTAGCTCTGCTCTTTGATAGATTTTACTCTAGTATAGAGGGAAAAATTATTTTTTTGAAGGTCAAGAATTTGGATTAGAAATAGCTCATCTCATGGGGCTGGAGCGATAGCACAGCGGGTAGGGCAGTTGCCTTGCACGCGGCCGACCCGGGTTCGATTCCCAGCATCCCACATGGCCCCCCGAGCACCACTTAGGAGTAATTCCTGAGTGAAGAGCCAGGAGTAACCCCTGTGCATCTCTGGGTGTGACCCAAAAAGCAAAAAAAAAAAAAAATGAAAGGAAGGAAAAAAAAGAAATAGCTCATCTCAGTTGGTCGGTTTTCTCATTCTCATCCTTTAAATTATATGTAATTTTTTTTCACAGTTCTTGCTTTTTTTTGTATTTTTTCTCTTTTTGTGAGTAGGTCTCAAACACTCAGTGTCAAAGCTAAATTACTACAGGAATTAAGTTTCTAATAATCAGAACAATAATATCTTGTAAGTCTTTCCATTCTTGCAAAGCACCCTGTTTTCCTGCCCATTCTTTCAGGTTCCTGGGAACCTGTTGTCTTTTTTTTTCTTTTTAATTTATTTATGAATCGCCTTGATTACAAAGTTGATCATGACTGAGTTTCAAGGGTAAATATTCAAGCACCAATCCCTTCACCAGTGTCCACATCCCCCAACCGATGTCCCCAGTTTTCCTCCTGTGCCCCAGTCCACCTCTCTGGCAAACACTTGCTTTCTTTTTTTTTTCTAACCTTTACCCACTACTCTACCATAGCAGTTGTAGACAACTTATGATCCTGATTCTCTCACAGGTTATTTTTGTGGTAGATTGTTAATCACTCACATACTTGGTTGATTCATTGGTTGCATTCTGACTGTACTGTCTAAAATGTCATATTTTTCTTTTTAAAAAAATGCAAGAGAGAAAACTTAATTTTATATTTGGGGAAATATAGAGTTATGCCAATAAGTATGAAATTATGTTGAGTGAAATAACACATTTTTAAGTGTAAAGCCAATAAAGACATATCTCCCTGTTAGAAAAGGTAACTGAGATTACTTATATTAGAAAACACACAAGATGAGAAAGCCTATTTTCAAGAGTCCCTTGTAGCATTGGCAGCTCTAATGTTTGCCAATTTTAAATAAAACGTTTCCAGTCAGAGATGAAGAGATGGCCCAAAGGTCTTAGGACATGCCTGCTCTAATCCCCGGAATTACCTGGTTCCCCCCCCCCCCGGAATTACCTGGTTCCCGAGCACCTCCAGGAGCTATACCCTGAGAACTCAGTCAGGAGTATCCCCAAGACCCCAGGTGACCCACAACTCTCCCAAATATTTTTCCTACTCTCTACTTTTTAAAGACAATAAATAGTAAAGCAAATTTGAGATGAGTAGTTTTAGAAACGTCTTCATGTTGACTGTCTCCCTTTAAGCACATTTTGCACTGCTAGAAAAGCCACTATTTTTTATAAATTTTCTTTTCCATGGCAAGTCCCTTAACCAGTGTCCACTTCCCAAATTTTACAACCAGAAAATAATCCTGGATTGGGGAGTCAAAGAGAGGCTCTGAGGGATGGGGTGCATGCTTTGCATCCAGGAACCCCAGGATCAACCTCAGGGACCACATGGACCCTAAGTACCACCAAAAGTGACCTCTGGCACTTTGACACAGCCAGATGTGAGCACCACTCATTTTTTTAAAATTAGAAATGAAATCCTTTGGCACGTATGAGACCCATGTTGGGTCTCCAGCATCTCCACAGAAAGAGAGAGGCAGAGAGAGAAATCCTAAATCCTAAATCTGATTTTGCATAGCGAGATTAAGGTTGGTCCTGAATTAGAGTCCATTCAAACTCCAGATGACTGAAATGTTTAAATCCTAACAATTTGGCCCCTCAGTGAACTAACTGAACTCTGTTGCCAACCTTTCATCTAAAATACCTTTTCTGTCTTTCTCCTTTTCACTTCTGCCCTCACTTTTAATGCCCCACCGGCTGGCAGTGTCTTTACCTCCAAAATGCAAAGCAGACAAATGGGCATTTCAGGGAAGAACATGACCAAAAGCACCAGCATCAGTGGAGACATGTGCTCGCTGGAGAAGAATGACGGCAGCCAGTCGGACACCGCCGTGGGCACCCTGGGCACCAGCGGCAAGAAGCGTCACTCGAGCATTGGGGCCAAAATGGTAGCTATCGTGGGCCTCTCTCGGAAGAGCCGAAGCGCGTCCCAGCTCAGCCAGACCGGTAGGCATTTCTGCGTTCCTTCCCACCTCGTGTCTGCGTGGTCATCAAACTCTGTGTCCTCTTGTGCTCGTTTTCTTGCAGGGCTGTGTGGCCGGCAACCTGCTCCTGAGGGCTAGGGTCCTTGGAAACTACTCAATCTTTCTGAAAATCCAGTGACTTTGCTTTTCAGGGATGAAGGAAGCTGCAGCAAGGGCACCCTTGGCCACTGGAGTTGAGAGGCCCTTCCAGAATTTCCTTTCCAGGGGGGCAGTTCAGCCCAGAGCCCCCCACCACCTCCAGTTTCTCACTGACTGAGCCTTGGTTGAGGGATGAACGCTGAGTTGCCTCATCATTCCTTTCCTTTAGGATCCTCCCATTGCAACCAGCCCAATTCATTTCCCTTCTCAGCCAAGTCACCAGCTGCGGACGAGATGGCCAGTTCCGTGGGAAGGAAGTGCTCCTGATGGCCTCGCTTCTTTTTCAGTTCATTCGCAGCCAGTTTTCTCAAGGCCGCTTTTAGTTCCCTGGTAAAACTACATGCAGCAGTATCCTTCAGCCGCGGGGAAGGAGGGCTTTCTGCTGATAGTGAAGATATTTTGAGGCTCTGCTACTTTAAAATTCAGTTTCTAAATCACATCTGCAGAAATAAATGGGATGCAACACTCCTACTCGGAAAAGCCACTGTTAGCAATTAAGAAATTTGTGAGTCAAACAATGCCTTTTTTTTTTCAAATGGATATCGATAATTAAACATTTATCCCTGGTATCTTGGAAATAATAGCATATCTTCTACTTAGGCAAACAAAAGCTTATAATATGTTGCCTCTTTTACAGGAAATAAATTATAGGCAAATGAATTAAATCTGATTACTGTTCAAATGCTGGGGTCCTTGTACACAGAAGCCAGAATACAAATCTACCACACAAAAACATTGCAGTATATGTTCATTCCTGGACCCAGCTAATCCTGATTTTTCCAAGTGTTATTGTGATCCTGTCATTTGGGTTTCATATAATAATATTATATTCAAATCATGACTTGATGGTGTGCCTTAAACCAGGGTGGAAACCCATTAGGTTTATCATGGTTGTTATAATAGGAATTTTTAATGAGTTTTTGGTGGGTGAGGGAGCTCCTGAGCAGGCCCAGAGGCCCCAGTCTTATTGTATAAGCTTCCCAGTTTAGTACTCAGGCCCAGGACTAAACAGCACTTGTTGGAGGATCTCAGGGCCATAGTTAGTGGGGCTCCTGGAACTTCTGCAGTGCAGAGAATCACCTCCTTGAGCCATCACATGCCAAGTATTTGCTCAAAACTTTGAACTATCTTCTCCGCCCTTCACTTTGTTGTTTTATAATGTTATCTTTTGCATTTAATACTGTAGCACTGCACTGTAGTACTGTCCTCCCCTTGTTCGTCTATTTGCTCAAGCGGGCACCAGTAACGTCTCCATTGTGAGACTTGTTGTTACTCTTTTTTTTTTTTGCTTCTTGGGTCACACCTGGCAATGCACAGGGGTTACTCTTGCTCTGCACTCAGGAATTATTCCTGGTGGTGCTTGAGGGACTATAATGGGATGCTGGGAATCAAACCCTGGTCAGCCGCATGCAAGGCAAACACCCTACTCGCTGTGCTATTGCTCCAGCCACCTTATTGTTACTCTTTTTTGCATATCAAATACATCACGAGTAGCTTGCCAGCCTTTGCCATGTGGGCGGGATACGTGATAGCACAGTGGGTTGGGCATTTGTCTTGCACACGGCCAAACCAGGTTTAATTCCTCCACTCCTCTTGGAGAGCCCGGCAAGCCACCAACTGCCCGCACAGCATTTAATACAGAATTCAGAAATTAATTTCTGATCATAGAGATCATATGATTTTGAAATGGCAAATATTTATTCATAATTTATGTTACTAAGGGAGATATTGAACTTTTGAAATTAAAAGGTTGTTATAAAATTTGTTAAGCTGTTAAAGCTTTAGTCATTGTTTTTTTTTCTGTCTTTCAAACCTGCAAGTACCAGTAAAACAAAAATTCCTCCCTCCAAATAAAATCTATGCAATTTTTATAAGTTAGGAGATTCAAATGGACATTAAGACTTACAAGTTAGATAGTTCATGCTGTGTTAGCAAATTGGCATAATTGATTCTGGGTATTTTGATTGCCCTTAAGCCCTTGCCATGTTGTATGCCAGGCACATGGAAAATAAAGATGAGTCAGAAATTATTTATAACAAGAATTGCTGGTAATTAGAGAAAACAGATACTTGGGCAGATTCTTTATGGCCACATGGCAGGAGGTAAGTGGACTTCTCTAGGCAAGGCCATTGGTCCATCCAGTACCCCCAGGAAGAATTACTGAAGCAAGTAATACTCAAAAGAAAAGTCTCTGCTGAGCAGGTAAGCACTCTTAGAAGGTACTCTGCCTAGACACCAGGAGACGCAAAGGCAGGGAGGCTTGACGTGTTGAGGACTGATGAGTGTTTAAGGCCTGATTTTAACCATTGGTATCACTCTGAATGTGGTCAAGATGATGCCTATAGAATCAGATCAGATCACAGAGGGGTTTCGTTGTTTTGTTATACATTTTTGTTATTAATGTATAGGTGGAAAGTTGATGGTTAGGATCAAATTAGCATGATAAATAAGAAAACAAATTTATCAAGCCTTTCCTTGAAGTGGACTTTACTAAAGAATTAAATATAGGTCAAAATCCAGTAAAAATAAAATGTAGAATTGACAGTGATGCATTCAGATAAAAGATGAGCTGTTGAACTAAGTCAGGCTCTTAGTTGTAAATATAAGCAAGGGAAGGAGAGAGTCAGGGAAGCTTTTAACAGTAAAATTTTTAGGTGGCACCTGGCTTGACAGCTGGTTGGCTATTAGAGGTGGAGAGGGAATTCTCAGATGGTTCTCTTATTTCTGGCTTGGACTGCAGCATTGGTAAAGACTATCGGAGGGCTAGAGAGATAGTTTAAGGCTTAAAGTACTTGTATGATATGAAGCCAATCTCGGTTCAACCCGCCACATCACATGGGGTTCCCCAGCACTGCCAGGAGTGCACCTGTGCCCCTGTACCTAAAACAATACCAAAGAGCTTATCAAAGTACCAAGGGAGTAATAAATTGAGGGAATATGTAGAGAATCCTTTAATTTAGAATTCATTTGGGATTAATTTAAGATTCAGAATCCTTTAATTTTGAATTTGAGCTATTTGCAAACCTCCAAGTAGAAATGTCTAAGATATATTTAACTAAACATTTCTGAAGCTAACACCCGGCTCAGAGACACAAACCTGAGCATTAGAAAGTTTGCTCAAGACTCCCACATTTATTTTTCCTATCACCCCATTAAAAAAAACTCTTCAGTGCACCCCTGGAAATCTGTGTTCTTTAAGCAAACAAACAGGAGGTGCTCCCATTGCACCCAAAGTACCTCCCTGCAGCTGCACTCCAGGGTGTTTTATTTCCACCTTTGGGAAATATTAGTTTAAATCCTAGCTTCTAAACTGTGGGTGGTTACAGTATTAAAAGGTCCCAGTACTTTTCATTTTCCTTTCTTTATATTTGGACCAGGCTGGAGCGATAGCACAGCAGGTAGGGCGTTTGCCTTGCACGCAGCCAACCTGGGCGACCCAGGTTCGATTCCTCCACCCGTCTCGGAGAGCCCGGCAAGCTACCGAGAGTATCTTGCCCGCACGGCAAAGCCTGGCAAGCTCCCCGTGACGTATTCGATATACCAAAAACAGTAACAACAAGTCTCACAATTTGTTGAGACGTTACTGGTGCCCTCTCGAGCAAATCGATGAACAATGGTAGGATAGTGCTACGGTATATTTGGACCACACCTGGTGTGCATGGGGCCTTCTGTAGGTCCTCCTTGTGGTGCTCAGAGGAACATAATGATGCCAGGAATCTGACCTGGGCCTCCTGCAGGCAAAGCTGGAGTTCTAGCATGTGGAGTTCTCTTTAACCCAAGGATTCATGTATCTGTTTTTAAAACTGTTTTTAAAATAACTTGATTTATGATATATCATCAGAAAATGTTTGATCTGTATAACTATTATATGTGTATATATACACATATGTGTGTACATATATATGTAGGTATATATGGATGGATGCATATATATGTATGTATATATATATATGTATATATCTGAGGTTATGTAAAGTGTCTTGGGTAAAAAGTGCTTGCAAATGAAAAAAGTTTAAGAAGTCCTGGTTTATGTGATGCTTACAACCATGAGCATGGCTAAGATTGTCCAAGAACACTCTAGATAAAAAGAACAGGAGGTTAAGGAATCATCCTATGGAAGAGGAGCAACTTTAGATTTAGGCAGAGGAAGAGGAGCCCATGAAGGAGACCAAGGAAGAATGATGATGAAGAAAAACTATGAGAGAATTACACCGCAGAAACCAGGAGTAGAGAAGATTGCAAGAAAAGAATTGTCTTTATAGTCACAGCTGAAATATACCATAAAATCTTCCATGGCTGTATGTTTTCTAAAAAGCACAGATCTGTTGACAATACACTGAAATTTCTTAATATGAACTTGGCTTTCTTTTATGAGTGTGTGTATATATGTATATGTTTTTACCATCAAAATCATTATGATATTAGCAGGTTAACCAATGCAGTCTTATTTCTTCTTATATTATGGCTCTGGCTGGTGCAGTAGCACAGCAGTAGGGTGTTTGCCTTGCACACAGCCAGCCCGGCTGATCTGGATTCGATTCCTCCACCCCTCTCAGAGACCCCGGCAAGCTATGGAGAGTATCTCGCCCGCCCTGCAAAGCCTGGCAAGCTACCCGTGACGTATTCAATACGCCAAGCTCAGTAACAAGTCTCAAAATGGAGACATTACTGGGCCCACTCGAGCAAATTGAGGAACAATGGGAGGACAGTGACAGTGATATTATGGCTTCTTCCTGTAAATATGTGATAGTAGAAAATAGTTTTTATTATCATTATTAATTTTCTATGACATTTTATTGGTTAAAAATTTCATTTTTCATAAAC